AGATAGCTGCCTATATAATGTATGTTCCACTTGAATTTACGCTTGAGCAGACTTGTGCATCCTTGTAAAGGCACTCCTGTTTGTTTTCTTGATCTTGCGCGCATGTGCATTTTGGCGGACGTGACGCTTCTTTCCCTCTCCGCCTGCAATATATATTTCGCAATGATAGCAATAAATATACAATAAATATACGTTAGATAGTTTGATGTATATCAATTGCATTCGTGAAGTTATGGTGAAACACCTTGCCAACACGCTCAATAACACCTTCATTACTCTAGCGGACGGGGCCTACGGTGCCGGAATCTACTATAAATTACTAGCGCAACTAAGTTAGACAACACAGAGTAACGTCGATCTGCAGCAACTTCTTTCCATTTTTGCAGCGCCCTTGCGGGCGCGTGAGTTTTCGCCATTTTCGATCGCAGACTCAAAAGTCACAGAAAATTGAACGACGGTGGGGGTTGTACAGCCGATTCTGCGCTTTCTTGCAGGACATAGTAGATACCGTGTGATTCCAAGCCATACTTATTTAATTAAATTAAGTCAAATGCATGTATCCGATTGCATCATCAAAGCATCTTCAAAGAATTTTTACAAGTGATGAGCGAAAGGTGTACTGTTATTTTGTAAAAGGGCGATAAAATCGCCCTTTTTGAAGTAAATCACAAACTTTGTATACACTAGCATATTCCTCGGAGAAACGTGCTTTTTTCTTTATTCGTTGAATCCGTTTATCAGTGGACGTATCGGCTTCCAGGGATCGTCGGTTTGACTGCTGTCCGAGAACGCAAGTGCATACAAAATTTGTTCAAAACAATGACGACTCATTTGGAACCTAGATGCATAATTGGCTGCAGTATTGACGTAGCCCTCTTTCTCTTGTGTGTCCCAATAAACCCGTGTAGGGCCTCGGCGTGGTTCCAATGCCATTGTTAAACGAATTCCGATCCACCGAAAGAAGTCTCCTGGTCCGATAGAACAGATCGAATTCGTCGATAAGTTGATGTTGGTCAGTCGAAGACTTTCATGTAGAGCGCTCATGGGGTACATTAGGTAGAAATATTTTACTAGCGTCGGCTCTCCGAGCTGTAAGTACGGCGGCCACATAAAATTTGATGCCCGAGACAAAAATTGACTTGCAGGATCTACCAAGATTACGCTTGCTTTTACCACATACCCAATTTTCCACCAGCAGTTTTGGCATCTTCCCTTGGTCAAATTGAGCTCAGAAAAAAAACGGGGCTACTCGCTCTTTGGACATGAGCGCTGTCCGTTTCGGTATAAGTGTCCGTTGCTAGAAGAGCTAAACTTTATTTTTGAAGTTGAGGTCGTTTGTTCCAGAAGTCATGAAATGGCGCAAACTACAAAAAGTAGATGTGTCATAGACAAAACGGAGACCCTAAATATAGGGTCTCCGTCTTGTCTATGACACATCTAGGGTATATGGTTGACTTCCTCGTATGCGAAAACCTAGTTGCCCAGAGTTTCATGGCTGTAGCTGTCATAGACGCGAAGTTATATATAGCTTCAAAGTGTCCCGTCTTTATCACATTAACGACATATGATTCGATTTGCTCTATTGAATAACGTATGCTCCCAAATTTTCATGTCCGTACCTGCTCTGCTCTCGAAGTTCACTTTTGGACGTACATGTTGGTTGGCGCACAGTGTCAATGCCAAACCGATTCATCGCGCTCATCAAAGCACTTCAAGGCGCACTGACGGCTTCTGTAGAAACAGTCTATCAGTGCATTAAAAAATTGCGCGATCAATTTGCGCCCGAGAGCCCACAGCCTGATTTACTCAGACCTATGCAGCCAGACCCTGATCCCTTGCAATCCCTTGGATATCAGTATGTACGGGATGTCGCCACTACCAAGAAAAGTAGGTGGGTTCACAAAGGCGTAAATTATCGAGATTATTAACATGCTCGTCACAAGAAAGCGGAAATGCCATGACATGTACTCCGACAGCTAGTAAGCGGCTCCGAG